GCCTGCCTACTGAGAAACTGGCTCATTTGCATACTAACAGTGATTGGATGTTTAGCTGGGGGGAGGGTGAGTGGGGGATCTCTGCTGAGTGCTGTGTGAGCCCGCGCACAAACAGAACGCGGAGGGAAAGAGCGAACAAGAAGTGAAACTTATCATCTCGTTTGTGCCTTTTTCAGTGGATTTTTCAGCTACTGTAGTAAATCTTGTCCATATTCAGTTTGTGGGTAATTATTATTTTCTTCCTCAACTTCTAAAAGTTTGATTTAAGGGGGCAGGACGTTTGCTTAATGGGGCGTTGCCCCCTCTTGCCCCAGCGTAGAGCCGGCCCCGACATACATGTTGGCTAACAAAAGGCATACCACCAACTAACAGCAGAGATTTACCAGTATACAATAAAAACCACTGTCGTTTCTCGATACAAACCTTTAATTATAATTATATATATTCAAAGGTATATCGAAATATCGGAAATGTGTTTAAAAATCGTATCACCGTTATTGAAGAGAATTCCATCGCGATATATATTGATATCGAATTATTGTCCAGCCCTACCTCAGAGCCACTACTCCATCCCATGGGTTCAGCATAAGAAATTAAATGACAATTTAGGAGTTTTCCAAAAGCCACAGATGACAAGCAAAGCCCAGCAGACACAAAAATCTAGTAACTCATAAATGCATTAAACAAATGTACAGTGTTGGTTTGGAGGATGCCAAGCATTTTTACAGCAGCCAGGCATCTCGCAGTATGTCACATTTCTCGTATTTTTTCACTTTGCTGTGCTTGCATGCTCATTTTGCTCGGGGGGGCAAAAATATTTTACACTTTTTTTTAGACTGAGGGGACCCTGCATCCCTAATCCCATCTATGTGGAAGGGTCAATTGCACAACATACTCCTCCAGTCATTTTTATCAGAGTACCTTTCTGATCCTTATTTATTATGTGTTTATTATATTGGAACTTATGTCTATTGCATTCTATATAATTATTATGGTGGAGCTGACAACGCTTCATTTCACTGCAGGTTACAGCTTGCATATGACAAATAAAATCCTTGAATCCTTGACAGAACTCTGAGAAAAGGTTCCTGAGAAATATATCACATGAATAAAGACATGTACTCAGTCCTCACCTTCATTGAAAGTGCATAACAGCTAAGCTGTTTAAAATGCAGTCCCCTTTGCCTCCTACAGGTACCACCACCTATAAAAGCAAAAGCGTAGATAAAAAGAAAAATTAACAACAAGTCAACCTTACAGCAAAAGACAGAAAGGACTGCACAGGTACACATGAAACAGTCTGCCTTAGGCATATCTCTATGCAACACTAAACATCTACATATTAAAAGATCATACACCTATGTCCTAATGTCTGCATTTTTACAACACCATCAATATTCAAAAAACAAGTATTGCTTCTTGTGCACAAAAATCTAATGGCAAACCTGTGAACTATAACAAGGACATATCCTGCCACTTCACTGGGCCATTGCAGGGCTTACTGAGTAATATTTTGAGTGTACAACATGTTCAGAAGGTTTTATTTGCACAGACCCAAATTACATGTACCCAGTGGTGATCTACAAACCATATAGTAGCTGACATCAGTTAACGGGCCCAATATCTACTGACTTTAATGACTCTAGTTGTCACAACATAGGTTTCATTACATCTTCAAACTCAGCAACTGAAAGCATTATAAATTATGGCATCCAAGAGTTAGTCTCAGGAAAATAATTTATTTGCATCACACAAATGTCAGCGTGGTGCATGATTTCTCCTCATTGACTGACTTGGATGCACGTTTGAATATACACTGGATGAGCCAAACACTATGTCCACTTCCAGAATAAGTGAATAATGTTGGCTATCTAGTAAAAATGGTGCATGTCAAGGTCTGAGATGAAACAATCAAGCTTACTCGGTTCACAGGATGTGATCATAATGTTTTGGCTCATTGGTGCACATATTAAAGCTCTAACAGTACACATATTCATTGTGTGCCATACGGCACATTATTTTCAGTTCGGTACATAGAGTGAAACTGCACATTTACTGACATACATTTATTGACACTGGTGGAACCTAAATTTAGAGGTAGGTGTTCACTACAAAACATTATACTAATTGTGGCTAAAATGGAGCAGAAATAAGAACTCCACCGTCAAGTCTGCTGCAGTACAATTAATTCTGTATCAGTGATCTAAGATTATTAAAAACACTCACAAAATCATGAAGGGCGATTTAATACAGTGTTTCTCAACCAGGTTCTCGGAGCGAAAATGTGTAGTCCCCAACCATATTTGGCATGTCACTGTAAGACTCCCACACTTTACTTGTCATCTCCAGCTTCAGAATGGCAGAATCCTCAGAGGAGTCCAAAATCCTGCAGCATGAGGAAAATAATTACAGTTCCTATATCATTACTGCCTAACCATTTAATTCCAACTTCCAAGTTCAGTCAGAAAACTGATTCAGCCATTACAAATCTGCAACACCCAACAACTAGAATAAATGGACAAAACAAAATAAATTAGGGCCTTCTGAATCACTTCAACTTTTGCCAAGTAGAATACCTTAAGCTGCAATGAACATCAGCGTCCACTGAAACTTTTTTTCTGAGGCGGTTAACTGAAATCCACTAACTAGACCAATCATAATGGACCTAGAAAATTTATATCCCATTTCTCATTTGCATTCTGACCAACATTTTCCATGACATAACAGTGAAAACTGTAACAGGTACACTAATGATATAAATGGAGCGGGCCATATGAACATTTAACTCATTTACATTTAGCTTAGTAAAGGGCTCAAGTCAGTCTCAGGAACATGATTATAGAACATCACTAACATCAGAGTGGTGCATGATGTTTCTTCATTGACCGACTTGTCAGTATTTTATAAAACAAATTTAACAAGAGTTAATAGTCCCCAGCTTTGTAGTTTCTGCTTGTTGTTCTTGCTAACTTTACCAATGGTCTCCATTCCACCGTAAGAGCTTTGGGGGAACTTATATTAAGTAAATTGTGCATGTGTGTGGGGGCGTGTGTACGTGTATGTCTGTATTTATGTGACTGACACAGAGAGCGAGAGACTCACACACACGCAAGCATGTAGTACCAAAATGCATTTGTATGTATTTCCTTATGCAAGTTGTTTTCAAAACACATTTAAGGTAGGTTTTCTTACCAATTTCTCCAAGGCAAAAATAATAAAACCATAAATGAATATAACACATTAGAATTTGTTTTAAATGCAACTTTTTAAAAATAGGTTCTTTTTATTGATGCAGTCCTGGAACACTACTTTTGTACGGTTACTATAATACTGACTTTCAATAAAAAGTTCAGCTATTAAAATTGGTTGCACTGATATTGTACCTTAAGTGTAACATTAATTTGAAAAAGTGACATGGCTGCGGGTTCCTCAGTTATTCCATAAACGCTATTCAACTAAATTACATTTTAGCAGTTGCACTTGGCATTTAGTTAAAATTACTCATCCATCATATTTAAAAATTTCAGGTTGCTTTACGGTACTTGTTCAATATTATTATGTAAAAAATAATAAACAAGTTTTAAGTTCTTAGTGTGATGACCAAAGCACCAATGCCCGGAAATGTTTGCGAAACCAATATCTAATAGTCCAGGACTCCCAACGTGCCAGAGACTAGCGGCCCCCTATTTTCGACGTTCCCCTCGGTTGATTTCAGCGGTTACAACGCGTACTACTTTTGTGGGAAATGTCTGAGATCGTTCGCATAAAAAAACAGTTCGCAGAAAAAATTTGTTCTAATGTACTATTCAATATTAATCTAAGATTTATCTGCAACATTTACATCAAGTTTCAGAATATAATAAAGATAAATACCAGAGTATTTATTTCTTCGAACGAACTTTGGACAAAGACTTTCTGGTTATTAAACAAACGATAAAACATTTGTACTTTTACAACACATCGGTGACCTACCACGTGGTGGGTTTTATCAAGTGAGGCTTAAAAGTATCATACTAGAAACCATAAAACAACGGCAAAGCATTACTGCGCAGAAGATCTTGTGTATTATTAAAATATGTTATACCACACATAACAACTTGAAGCTTGATTATAACAAATATAGTTTACGCGGGAAGCGGAAAGCAAAGCAATACCTACCACCACGGAGGCTTCTAGGAGAAGGACAGAGCCGCTTGCGTTCCTCGCAGTCATCTCCTGTGGGTTTATGGGTATTAGGCACCGAATGAAAAGTGCATACGCCATCTACCGGCCGATGGTAAACGTAAACTCCACCCATGCGAAAACGGGAAGTCCTGGGAGTCGTTTGGAAAACCAAAATGCACATCCAAGTAATACACACCCTCAGTAGATCCAGCGAATGTTCCATGAATTTGAAGGAAAAAAAACTCAAAATGACGTAAAACTATACATTGTATACGCAATTTATATTTGCACGCTTAAATTTTAAATGTCCTTAAGCAGTGTTTTTTTTCAATGTCTTTAATATTGTATCGATCGATATATATATATATATATATGTGTGTGTGTGTGTGTGTGTGTCTGGGGTTCTGTGAACACAAACTTTATAACTCACAAAAGTTACCTGTGGAACGGGATTTTTGCACTCATGTAATGAGGGTCAGTGTGGGTCTCTCAAGGGCAATAGGCCATGTCCAGAGACAAAGACAGATATTAAGGGGGGTCTGTGGAAGAGTTAGGCTGTTCTTAGTTCTAATGGAAATAGACCTACTCTTCCCTGTAGCAGGGGAACAGGGTGGATTGTTGCTTTCTTACTTTTCCTCTTCACACTTTGTTTGATGTGTGATTGGACTTCACACAAGTGGAGGGTTATAATGAAAACTGATTGATGAAACACTATTTTGGACCCAGGAATGCCCTGGACCCTTGCATTCCTGTGTTTTGTTTTGATTTCCCCTGGAGTACACAGAGGGGTATCGTTTGCCCAGACCCAGGGGAGTAATTTTTAACTTTGTGTCTGTGGTGCATGTGTGTGTGTTTGGATGTTGTGTATGTTTATTTTTAAGGTGTACAGCTACCATGGGAGTGAAGGGCACTGTGTGAAATCCATCCACATATGAGCGAATACTATGGGTTTTATGGTCGCTCAAATCTTTATAAGAAGACAAAATATGTCTTCCATTTCAACGCAAGAATGATTTTCTATATCTGATAAGTAGGCACACAAAAGGTGTTTGTGTGGTGGCCCGGGGTAAAAGACCCCAACAGCTATTTATTTTGGTTTTACTCTTAAGTTTGTTTTAACCCCTTTTGGATCTCCTGGAGCATGGTCAACAGAGAAGAAACAATCACAGGTAGTAGTGAGGTTTGTTACAAACACATTTATTGAATACACAAAGGTATTGCTTCTCGGCCCGGATGCAATCCTCTCTGGTCTGGACCCCCCCTCCCAACACACCAGTGATCGACACAGCAGCCTCGTTTAAACCACAGCACCACACCAATATACACAGCAATTAGTACTTTACACTCAGCACTACACCCTCCGTGAAAGCACAGTACACCTAAGATTTCACTATGGGATGGGGGAGACACTACAAGAGGCACATCACCAGACAAGGAAAAAAGGAAAAAACACCCTCATTCAATAAATAGTGTACAAAATTAAGACATAAATAATAACAAACTTAATAGCCAGGGGCCTCTGCGCCCTCACCGCGAGGCCCTCACTAGACCAAAATAAATCACCAAACTAACAAATTTTCCAACAGCACTCCACGCCCTTAGTACTCCATTGCTCAATCCTGAGTTACTGGAATCCCGATTTGCCAGCTTGGCCCACTTCACGTCGGCGCCGCCCCCAGCGCCCCGGTGCTGGCGTCTTCCTTCCACCCAGTCCGTACCGGTCACTGCTTCACATCGCCGGCGGCCCCTCGCCACTGCCATCTTTAAAAGTCCCAAGTCCCGCCCCGCCAGCTCGTTGTCATGGAGCCGGCCAATCGATTGCCTAAAGGCAGAGCTACCCCGGACCCACATAGCTGTTCAGGGTGCTGCCAGAACAAAACCAATTTAGGGAAAAAAAACAAACACAAACACAAACACAAAATAGTGCTCCTTACACCAGGGCACAACATTTGCACATCACCGTAACTTTTTTCTGGAACCAAAACCTTTCTCCAGACCATAGGACTTTTGTCGTGTTCACACTGCAGGAACTTGATCCGATTGTAGCTTCTCGGAGGCAGTTCCAGAACCCTTTTTTAGTACTTACTTCAGACTAGGTATTTTTCCTTTGAACACAAATTACTGGAAAGGCGCTTACAGTGACAGCTTTCTGGTTGGTTGACCGCACGCACCAGCACTAATTTGGAAGCTACACAGAAGTGTTGGATAAAAGGTAGAATAGCCTGTCCCCGTCTCCCTCTTCTGGAGACAGACACCCAACCTGCTCCTCGTATAGGTCCTCAATTGCCCAGGGACCACACCAAGACCTGGAACTGGGTTGGTGCTTGCGTAGGGCTGATCAACAAGACCTCATGGGACAGTGTGGCACCTCCTGGAGGCCATTGGGGACGATAAGGGTGACCATGGAGATGAGGCACCGATGAGGAGACAAGACAGGAACTGACACGATGGCAGGCGATAGTGAGGCAGGAATGTTGATTATATAACCAATCGATAAACCCAGGAATGTGCTGGTCCATGTGCCAACATGACGGCTGGCACCAGGGCAGAGACAGGACGGTCAGGCAGACATGGTGGGCAGGACATGACAGCCTGTTGTATTCTGTTTCAGAGTCAGGCTATTTGTATAACAAATTGACAATGTAAGTCTTGAAGTATCAAAAAAAATAGCCAAGCTGCTTCGGTACTTTGGGTACTGGAATCAACCTGGTCAACATGAGCCTAGTTTGGTCCTTCTGGGTCATTTTTTGGGGGTGGGGTGGGGATTTGGCCATTGGTCTGTGATGTAGCCCATATATTGCCATGGTACAGTATGTGGCCCCAGCTGGTTGGACCCTTTCAGTACTGGAACTTTTGGTACTGATACTCGACCGGAAGTCAAATGGAAAGCGAACATATCGAAAATATGGGGTGGAAAAGCACTGCCTGCTGAAAGTCAGCGTCGTGACACCATTTATCACAGGTTCAATTTTTGTGGTTTAGTTGAGCTGGAGCCCCTGCTGTTATTGCTGTGTGTGCTATGCTGCACAACATTGCGGTATTTATTTTATAAAATGTAATTTTAGGTCCACCTCCCTAATAAGTTGTTAAACGTTTCTTTTGAAAAGTGTTTTTACTATTGTTGCTCACCATTGTTATTTTTTACAATGAAGTAACATTACATTTTGAGCCCATTTATAGGCCTATATTTTCTACAAAATAGGTTATTTTGGTCTTCATTTTGTGTCCTTTTGCATGTTTTTATTGATTTTTTAAATGAATTATATTTGTTTGTTTTGATATGTCTGATGTGACAGTAATATAACGTATTTTTGAACACTGAAATATGTAGGATCGATGTTTCTGTTATTGAGAGTGTGTGCCTTTCTCACGTGGAGGGTGGGGAGGGGGCAACAGAGAAGTACTTTATTCACTAAGATCGATTGTTATTGGGAAATGCATCCCTGAGCAACGCATAGTCAATACAAATTAACACTCGCTGAGATATGCCTAATAACTATTTATTATCGGACATTTCTCGTTCTTTAAACATAAATGTGTTGATCGCGCAATGGACAGCTAATAGAGCCAGTGTTCTGTCGAGTTGAGCTACTTTGTTGAGTTAGGCTACCGTAGTGCTAATCGATAGCCCTAACCATAACCCCTAACCCTAACCCTAACCCTAACCCCCAAAAAACCTCTAAAACCCTTACCCTAACTCAAACCTCTAAAACCTAACCCTAACCCCCAAACGGTGGAACTGCACATGCGCAAAAAGGCTTGATAGGTAGCTCAACTCATCAGAACACTGGCAGTAAAAAAAAATATTATAAATTAGACATGACTTCAATCACTACAAAATTCAGCCACATGGAATGGCTTATTATTATCTTTAGCTACCCTGCTTTTGTAAAGCCACTCTAAGGATGTTTATGGTCAGACGTGCCTTCTCAACAAAGACTTCATGGAGATCTCCCACCTAGACAATTATACCTGGGTAGTTAAGATCAAAGGCCAATACAGCAGTGCAATCACATAGATAATAATCGCCAACAGCGGAGGGAATCATGAGGAATAGCGAATGCATTGGATAGATGATTCATTGTATGCAAATGCTCTGCTATAACTGTAACTCAGTATGCCCTCAGTTCAGTTTAGGGATCTCAGTAAACAGTCTATACATTTTAAAAACTCGCACTTGATTGCAAAAGGTGGTAATGCTATATCCAATACTGCCAAGATGTTTTGGCGACTACATGAGCAGTAGGCCTATTTGTGGAAATTTAAAGAACTCTTTTTAAAATAACGGGCTCTGAAGAACTTATCAGACAGCAAATGACTGACATATATGATACATCAAGTATTCCACAACACTGCATATTACTTGATATCTCCTGGATATGTTCTTTAACAACAAGGAAGGGGTGATTTATTTTAATTCTCCACAACAAAGGTACAAAGAGCAGTCTGGGACCAAAGACGATTTAACACTTCCTTTTTTAAAGAGACCGGGCGGCGCCATGGTGGAACGACAGCGTCTGTCATTAGGAAAGATGGGACAGATTGAGAGATATAAAAGAGGCGAAGAGAGAGAGAGAGAGAGAGAGAGAGAGAGAGAATGGGTGAAGGTAAATCTGAAGTTAAGTTTTCTGACTTGGAAAAAGTGTAACGAGGAATAGCCTAATATTTGCTTCTGTTTTTAAACTAGGTCTATGCTATAGGTTCCATAGACCAGTAACGTTGCCCTTTGTTGACCTGCAAGTATACAAAAAGCGATTGTTAATGGATAAAGTCATCCATTCAAAAATGCGTAAGTATCCATTTAGTTACCATGTATACTTCAAACTAATAATGATAATAATGATAATAATAATAATATATTTAAGTAGTTAGTAATTCTTGGCAAATGCACCGCTGCAATCTTGAAGTAATGTACGGAGCTTTTCCACACGTGTTGTGTAATCGAACTTGAGCATTGAAATGTATCATTGTAATATTGCTAACATTGATGACAATAATATAGATACTCCTCGCTTTACTATGGTGCGATAGCGATGCACATTCAGTAGTCATCAAACTTTTAATTTTGATCTTTTCCCGGCGTTAGCA